AAAGGACATTCCTACGGATTGATTGAGCTTGACTCGAGGTAAGTGGCTTGCCTAACTTTGCGTGGGGGAAATCCTCTTAAGATTTGGAACTATTGTGATATGTGAGCGCTATGTACGTGAGGTGACGAGTACGTACACGTGCTAGTTGTGGAAAAATCCAATTTTCTTACTGAGAAGCAACATGTTTTCCTTTTATTTTGAGTTATACCATTTTGATGAGTATTAATCTATTTTCATTCTTAATTGAGTTATTCCCATTTGCGTAGCTATCCTGTTTAGTCTAATACAATATGTCTACGTGTCTTAATTGCCTATGTGAACTCTGTGCAGCATGCTTAGTAATTTCCTGCTTCTTCCTTAACTGGTAATTAGTCTAAATCGTAAGATTTCTTGATGTAGTTGCACTTCTATTATTTGCGCTGCATATTTACTTTGGGACTATGGAACTGTAATCTGGGATATCCCTATGTACTTCATATTTACTTTGGGACTACGCAACGATATTCCGGGAGATCCCCCTGTCTTACATATTTACTTTGGGACTACAGAACTATTTTTCGAGAGATCCCCCAGCACATTTACTTTAAGACTATGGAACGGTATTCCGGGAGATCCTCCTGCACATTTACTTTGGGATTACGGAACGATATTCCGGGATATCCCTCTGCACATTTATATTTGGGACTACAAGACGGTATCTCGGGAGATCCCCTGTTGTGTTTCTGTGTATTGAGCTGTTACCTTCATGATTTCATTGTTGTTAAATTTCAACCTTTATTTTATTGCGGTATTACACTCTATATTGTCTTTATTATATATAATTACTAGTAGGGCCCTGACCTGACCTCGTCACTACTCGACCGAGGTTAGGCTTGGCACTTACTGGGTACCGATTATGGTGTACTCATGCTACTCTCTGCACATGTTTTTCGTGTGCAGATTCAGGTGCACCTTATCAGCCACACTATCAGTGAGCCGGGACAACTTTGGAGACTTCAAGGTATATTTGCCGTGTACGCAGACATCGGAGTCCCCTTGTACTCTTTCTCATGTCCATTATCTTATGTATTTTTCCTTGTTAGACTCTGATGTATAGAGACACTACATTTTACCTTATGTAGTTTTTGATTCATGATGTTCCGGATTTTGGGAGTTGTTTTGTATATTTGAATTGTTGGTTAAATTTATATATGTTTATTTCATTATTCCGCAAAATATTAGGCTTACCTAGTTGCAAAGACTAGGTGCCGTCATGACGTCACACGGAGGGGAAATTGGATCGTGACAGTGCGTCACCTCCAACAATTGATATCACACAAAATTTAGGGAATCATACCCTCATAACTAAGTTTAGAAATGTTACTTACCTCAAACCGTGTAATTCTTTACTCTGCTATGCCTTTGCCTCGCGAATTATCCTCTGAACACCTCGAATCTAGTCACAATTAATTCGATTCAGTCAATACAAATCATTTGAATTAATTCCATATGAAAATACTAATTTTCCAACAAAATCTGAAATTGAACTCAAATATTGCTCGTGGGGACCACGTCTCGAAAACTGACAAAAGTAATAAAATATGAACGCCAATTGAACCACGAGTCCAACCATACTAGTTTTACCAAATTACGACATCAACTCGACCTCCAAATCTTAAATTCTTATTTTGAAATCCTAGGTCCAAATCCTCTAATTTCACCTCAAAAATACGCAATCTAGTTGAAATACTCAATGATAATCCAATATTATTGACTAACAATGATCACAAGTGACTTACCTCAAAATTTCCCATGAATTCTCTCTGAACAATCGCCCAAAACCTTGTTGAAAATGTCCAAAATGACAAAAATATTGGAACCCTCTATTTTTGTACACTACCCAGAGGTTTCACTTCTACGGAATTTTTAACCGCAAATGCATTTGCGGCTCCGCTTTTGCGGTGAAGAAATCGCTTCTGCGACTGCCTTCACTTCTGCGGACAAGAAGTCCGCTTCTGCGGACTTGCTTCTGTGATCTAGTCCCCCTTAGCCCAGGCCGCATCTGCGATCATTCTGTCGCTTCTGCAGTCGCGCTTTTGTGATTCCAGGCTCGCTTCTGCGAGCTTGTACCTACGATCCAAATTCGGAATCAGGATTTGAAGGTTCGAACATGTTCGTATGATGATTTTAGACTTGGACGTATGTCCGGATAGGGTTTTGGATGACCCGGGAATGTTTCAGCGCCTATTGTAGAAGTTGGCATTTTGGAAGGATTTCATAAATTTAAGTTGAATTGCATTTTAATGATATTGACGTCCGTTTGGGATTTCGAGTCTGGGAATAGATCCGCATGATAATTCCGGTCATAGGAGCACATCTAGAAGTGGATTTGGAGGTCTGTAGGTCATTTTGGGATCATTTGGGCAAAAGTTTGAAGTTTGGATAATTTTAAGAAGTTTGATTCGTAGTGGACTTTTTGATATAGTAGGTCCGTGATTTGATAGGTTTCGGCATCGATTGTAGAAGTTTAGAATTTTAAAGTTCATTAAGTTTGAATTGGGGGTGATTCGTGATATCGATGTTGTTTGATATGATTTGAGGCCTCGAGCAGGTCCGTGTTATGTTATTGGAGTGGTTGGTTTGATTAGACGGGGTCCCGGGGGCCTTAGGTGAATTTCGGATGCTTAACGGGTCGCATTTTGAACTAAGGAAAATGTTAAGGCAGCTGATACCTGGTGCAATCGCACCTGCGTGAAAAGGTCCTCAGGTGCGGGCTCGCAGGTGCGAGCCACCAGCCGTAGAAGCGAGAAATGGAGGGCAGCCCAGAATCCGCAGATGCGGAAAATTGGGCTCACCTGCGTGAGCGCAGGTGCGAGAGACAAGGTCGCAGGTGTGGCTAGGCTCGCAGAAGCGACCCTCCTTGTCCGCAGATGAGGAGCCTAGCCAGGTGAGGGAAAGGCGCACCTGCGAGGCATTTGCCGTAGGTGCGGGACCACTGATGCGACATAAAGCACCGCATGTGCGAAAGTCGCTGGGCAGTGAGGTTTAATAAAACGGGGTTTTGGCTTATTTTTGCTTCATTTCATCCATGGGAGCTAATTTTGGGGCACTTTGGAGTGCCATCTTCATCAACTATAATGGGATAAGTGATTTCTTCACATTTTGAGTTAAATACATGATTTGTACATGTATTCAAGCATGAAAATTTGTAGAAATTTGGGATTTTGAAGAAAAAAAACCTAGAAATTGGTATTCTTGGATTTTGATCACGAATTTGGTCATCCAATTGTGAATAAATTATATATTTGAGTTCGTAGTGCTATGGGTAAGGTTTATCTTCTAAAATTTTCGGAATCCGGGCATGTGGGCCAGAGGGTAATTTTTATAGACTTTCCAAGCGGAGTTAAGAATTGTTATATATTGGATTATAATAAGTATTAGAGCGTATATTTATGGATTTGCACATTTATCGACTACTTTTTGGAGCATTGGGCATCGGTTTGAGTTATTGGAAGGGCTTGAGAGCCGGTGATGGAACTTCGGAGCGTAGTAAGTTACTTTTCTAACCTTGTAAGAGGGAACTTACCCCATAGGTAAACTTAATTAATATGTGTTGTTATTTGTGTGGGCTACGTACGCACAAAGTGACGAGAGTCAATACGTAGCTACTATTCCTGTTTATGTCCGGGTAGTTTTAGGTTTACACCATGCTTGTGGATACCGTTATTTGATTATATTTGTTAACTGTATCAAATGGAACTGAGTTGAGGATTTTTAAGGATTTAAAAGCTTCAAGTCGAACTGTCTTTATTTTGAAAAGAATCAAGAAAGGGTTATGATTTATTGATAAATTTGTATTTGACCATGTCGCATGTATGATCCGCGAGCGGGGTAATAGATGCATCTATGGTTCGCGTCGTTCTACCCTCGGCAGTGCACATTTTACGTTTATGTTGGATCGGGTCAAACGTCCTCGGTGGTATTCGTGTGTGATAATAGAACTGGAAGTTCCTTTCATAATCGGTATAAANAAAAGGGTTATGATTTATTGGTAAATATTAGGAAAAGAGCAGAAGAATTGGGAGAAGCCGTAAGGCTGTCCACAGAGAAAGGGGGTGCATCTCGAATGGAGTTGGATTCTTTCATCGCGCATATCACAAGATAGACTTGTTTTTCACTAAATCTCAAGGTCAAGGGGTCTAGCTCTATATTCTTTGGTTACTTTACAATTCTCTCAAAAATTTGTCACTTGTCTGTTTCTTGTCTCAGATTAGTTTATACTACCTTAAGTTTATGTGATCTTGGCATGTTAAATATCTTGGATCAGACTAGTTTATGATCTTTTATTTCTCGTAGTAAGAACATAGATCAACAGCTAATCTGATTCTAACTATGCAGAATACAGGGTTGATGTGGAGAATGATCTTATATACATTTCTCAGTTGTTTGCATATAAATGCTATGACAAAATGACATTCCTATGTGCTGTATTGGTGTTTTCTTGCTAATCAACGGTGTTTGGTTTAATATAAAACAGTTTGATACTTGTCCTATATGCTTTGAACTTCTGATATTGCCAAAGTTAATTAATTCTGATAGCTGCATATAACTTTTAGATTATCTATATATACACTTATATGTGTTATCTGCAAGATGCAATTCTAAGATTTCTCTTCTCTAAATATTTTTCTAGTCCGTTTAACTATGTTATCACCTCCCAAAACTTTCCAGTGGCTGATAAGTGTACTTAAAAAGTTGCCGTATAATATCCCAAGACATATCGCATATATATATGTGCCTGGACTCTTCAAAAATATTGTTGGGTGCATGCCTGATTCTTCAAAAACTACGAATTCTTTTGAGAATCCGAAACGGATGCGACAATATTCTTAGAGGGTCTGAACAACTTTTTCCCCACAAATATCGTCTCTACAGCTACCATCACTATATATTTAGCTTTAATAAAAGACATTCCAATAAAATCTATAAGGCAAGTTAACAAAAATTGATCATCCACAGAAGAGAGTAAATGAGAATATGTTTTCATTGTCATAGCATTCCCTATATATAGTGTATTGATATGTTTTCTTACATTATACCTCGATCTTGTGCTAACTAAGAAAAACTCAACGAGTAATATGGGTGATGAAAGAATCCATCTCAGCGCAGTTTACGCCCCCATCTGTTACTGATTTCTTGATAGCATTACTCAAATCAGCTGCTCTTTTCCTCATCTCATCTCCCTGTGGTGAAGCCATCAAAGTTTTCACAGCATTTTCAACCATTTCTGATGTAACAAGTTCATCTCGACGCGTCCATGGCCTAACAGTTAGTCCAATTTTCAAATACTTTGTTACAAGTTGAGAATTCCTTGGCTGATCTGAATGCATTGGCCAGGTTGCTATAGGAACTCCAAAGGAAATACTCTCCATACACGAATTCCATCCGCAATGACTCATAAAACCGCCTGTTGAATTATGTGCTAATATTTCCAATTGGGGTGCCCAATCTCTAACTATAATCCCTCTTCCTTGTATTTTCTCTTCATATCCTTCAGGCAATTGTACTTTTCTAACTTCACTTGTAAAAACATCTCCTTTATCAGCATCTCTGAGTACCCAAATGAACTTTTGCTCGCTTTTCTCTAGACCAATCGCGAGTTCTTTGACTTCTTCATCACACAACGAAGTAGTCGTTCCAAATGACACAAAAATAACTGAGTTTCGTTCTTGTTTGTCAAGCCAATCGAGGGATTCGTAACGTTTGTTTGAGTCTTTGCTCTTCTCTTTTGGCTCTAAAGGATTGAACGGACCTATAGCCCATTGCTTCAATCCATCATATTCTTTGGCCATTAAATCAAGGTACAAACTTTCTATTACTCGCGACGAATTGTAAAGTTCACCACAATGAATCTTCCCATCAAATTGTTCTTGTATCTTCAAATATTCCCAAAACTCTGTAGTAAAACAGTCTAAAACTGATGGTATATCCTCATAATGTTCAGTTCCAGGTAGAACAGGTTTTCCTTTGAGTTCCCATAAAAATGAATATGAAAAGAAAGCTGAAGTACTATTGAAAGAATAGCACTCTGTATTTGGCATTTCAGGCAAATCTTGAACCACCCAATTCATCAAATTATCATAAATAACAACCACTTTCTTAAGATTCTTGCTCAAAAGTTCGCGTACTAGAGCACAAACTGACTCGCGGAGATGGAACGTGGCGTAGAAAGAAGGCATTAGCTGGTTTGGGAATTTGTTAGAAGCATTAGGATTTGGAAGGGGAGTTTCAAAAGAAGGTGTTTGAAATTCATGGAAATGAATGTTTGTTGTGGTGAGAGGATCAAAACCATGAGCCCGAATTTTCGCCTGTTGAATGTGAGCAATGGTTCCAACATAATGGACATGGATATTGTACGAGGAAACGAGTCGAGAGAGATGGAGGAGTTGATTTAGATGGCCTTGGGCTGGAAGTGGTACCATGACCACAGCCACTTGGGCCACGTCTTGCGGTGACGAAGTCAGGAATTTCAGCTCAGTATTATTTTCCGACGAAGGGTATTCAACTGACAACCCTTCGCCTGATGTAGACCCGCCCTTGGCGTCTTGTGCACCATTTTGGCCATGGGTTTTTGAGGTAAGCTTTTCAGCCATAGGTAAGCTATTAGTTCTCTAGTGATACAGTTTTAGAAGTAATCTAATGAAGTGTGTTATTGAGGAACAAAAAAGATCATTTTATAAGGAGTGGTTTTGAAGATTGCAACAAATATTGGCCAACCATTTGCTAAAAGATTTGTCAATGGAACACAAAATGTGTTGCTACAAGATATAGACTTTTAGTTTACATTATCTCTTGATTTTGTTAAACACACAAATGGAGTAGAAACACCAATAACAAGACAATTGACGTCATATTCATACAACGTGGACCTAATGGAGCTCCATATATCTTCATCACATAGCATAATGACAAGAAACCAATATGACAAAATTAAGCTAAATAGCTTTTGCATCATGAATGGTTTGACAAGTGGGAATTGAACCAACAACCTTTAGAGGTTCTGAATCCCTTTGATCACCGAGCTACGTTTTTGGGTTTGTTAAGGGGATTTAAAATATAAAATATAAATATTTAAATTGGATTTTGCGTTATATGTACAGTATAATTTTTCGATGAAAGGGGTTCGGGTATGCCCCTGTTTTCACCTATATTTAATGAAATGGGTGCAAACATTAGATACTTGGGTTCAAATTCCACCAAGACAAAAAAAAAATAATTTCTTTCCTTTATCTAAGCCTTGATGAACAGAGAGTTAGCGGTACTTGTGTTATTATTAAAAGGTAAAATAATATTAGGAATAATAATAATAAACTATTGTATATATTTTCTTCTAGAAAAAATGATGAAGTTGATACTATGCTACAATAGTAGAGTCCAACTTAGTCACACAACTGACTTTGTCACAAGAAAAAACATGCAAGTGATAATTCTACAAATACACAATATACCAAACAATGAGAACTATTTTAGTCAGGGGCGGGGGGGTCTATTCATTATTTTTTTTTTAAAGAAAAATTATACAATGTCAATAAGGTTAATTTTTTTTTGGATATATATTAGACGTTTGAATCTCTTAATTACTTTGCGTATTCATTTTGTTTTTATTTTTTGAATCCTCTTATTGATAATTTGGTACTAGTGTGGGGCTTACAACGTGACGATAAATTCTTTCCATAGTTAATAGCCACTGGTTTTATTCAAAATCTTATATATTGTATTATGCTGTTAAACGAAGGTGAAGAAGAAAGAGTTTGTCTAATGAACAAGTAAGTGGATGTATACGGTCGAAATAGATTTCTTTTTTCCCACGTCTGTTCGAGTTCGAATGATAGTCGATCGAAGTGCGACTTCGAGATGGTTTTCAAAGATGGAGCGAACAAGCCTCGAACCCGAGGGGCCGATCAATGTCGAGTTCGATATCGTTATTGAGCTCGAATACAAATCGAACTATGATGCAGAGTAAAGTTATCAAGCTTATGAGCCGGAGTCCAACCAACATCGACCCCGAATCAATTCAAGGGTCCGAGTCAGAATCGAGATTAAGCCAAAGATCGAGAGCTCGAGTTAGAATCGGGCTCAAGCCGAGATCAAAAGCCCAAGTCAGATCGGACTCACAGACATAAGCCGTTGCAATCCCACTAGATGAGGGAATCTTGGCAAGAATTGTGGAAAAGCTGATTTATCATGGATCTCCCATTGAGTATTTTTTAATTATATTTAAAATAAGGTTCCTCTATTATAAAGAGGGGTTTTATCATTTCTGGAGAGGCAAGTTTTTGATATAAAGCTCACATTGTAATTTAAGCACCATATCCTCTTATATTCAAGAGTTACTATTTTTGAGCCTAATAAAAAAGTGATCCATCTTGCTTAGTCCTAAAAATCCTCTTCTTTACAACTTTATCCATTTTACATTCTTTGTAGACGATATTTGATATTCCCTTTTATCTTTACGATTTGTATTGAGTTTTATCACATATCCTTAGAACTACGTATAAATTTAACTCTATCCATTTTTCGGGTAAATCGTTTGGCGCCCACCGTGGGGCTAAGGATAACAGTGGTTATTTGATATAAATCTGAAAAAATACGCCATTGTGTTTTGCGCTTGTCTCCAAAAATATCTTGAATTTCGGATTAGCTACGACTAACCATCAATCAAATGGCTTCACCAATCGACAAGTCTTCAAGACAAAAATAACAACTTGACACCCGGTATTGCAAGACCACTTGTAAACGACGTTGGAGCTCAAATCGGAGCGCCAATAGACATCAGTTCGCATGTAGCCATTGAGGCGAACCTACATGTTGAACCCGAGAATAGCATCCATGGTGGCACTGGGTATGCGGCTCGAGATACCCATAACGTCGAGGAAAACGGCGTTAGCTTGCGTGTGATTTTCGAAATATTGCAAGCCCAACAGGCAGCAATGGCTCAGTTGCAGAGCCAAACCCAGCTACAAAGAAGGCCGGAGCCCAATCCACCTCGAGAAATCACCCATAGAACGGAGCTAGCCATAGTGAAGTCAAATGAGCAAGAATCGGGGACTACTCCCAAAATTGCTAAATTGCTCGAGGAACTCACAAAGCGAGTCGAAGCCAATGATAAAAAAGTAAAAACTTATAACTCTAGGGTCAATCAGATCCCGGGAGTTCCACCAATGATAAAAGGGTTAGATTCGAAAAAATTCATGCAAAAACCTTTTCCCTCAAGCGCAGCCCCAAAACCAATCCCCAAAAAATTTCGTATGCCCGAAATTCCCAAATATAACAGAACGACCGATTCCAATGAGCACGTCACTTCTTACACATGCTCCATCAAGGGCAATGATTTAGAAGACAATGAAATCGAATCTGTGTTGTTAAAAAAATTCGGAGAGACCCTCTCGAAAGGGGCAATGATTTGGTATCACAACCTACCACCAAATTCCATCGACTCGTTCGCCATGTTAGCAGATTCTTTTATGAAAGAACATGTCGGCGCCATAAAAGTCGCAACAAGGAAATCAGACCTCTTCAAGGTAAGGTAAAAGGATAACGAGATACTGAGGGAGTTCGTATCTCGTTTTCAAATGGAACGAAGGGACTTACCACCAGTCACAGACGATTGGGTTGTTCAGGCTTTCACTCAAGGTTTGAACGAACGAAGTTCGACGGCTTCATGATGATTAAAGCATAATCTGATTGAATACCCAGCCATCACACGGGCCGACGTGCACAATCAGTACCAATCAAAGATTAGGGTTGAAGATGATCAATTGGGGTCTAAACCTGCTGTTCGAAGGGATACTAATCGAGAACGAGGTCCGATCGAGGATCGATACCAACCATACAACGGAAGCCATAGAGTCAGTGAATCGAGACATAACCTCAGGAAAAATAACAAAAGCAATGATCGAGGTCAAGGGTCCTGGGGGCTGGTGAACAGAAGTAGGTTCGATAGGCCTGCCGGAACTAAGGAAGCACCTCGGTTATCGGAGTATAACTTCAGCATTGATGCATCCGCCATCGTATCGACTATCGGACGCATCAAATACACTAAATGGCCTCGACCCATGCAGACCGATCCTGCCCAGAGGAATCCCAATCAAATGTGCGAATATCATGGCACCCATGGCCACAGAACGGAAGATTGCAGGCAACTAAGAGAGGAAGTAGCCCGATTATTCAACAAAGGGCACCTTCGAGAATTTATGAGCGATAGGGCGAAGAACCATGTTAAAAACAGGGATTTCGGCAAGCACATCTAACAATAAGAACCACAACACGTCATTCACATGATCATCGGCAAAGCCGATACCCCTCAGGGACCAGTGCTTAAACGCACTAAGACGTCGATTGTGAGAGAAAAGCGATCTCGAACTGAAGATTACAACCCATAGGAACGTTGCCCTTCAGTGATGAAGATGCAAAAGGAGTCATACAACCTCATAACGACGCATTGGTAATATCCGTACTCATGAATAAAACTAAAATTAAGCGTGTGTTGATTGATCCAGGTAGATCGGCCAACATCATTATATTGATGGTCGTAAAACAGCTCGGCCTGCAGGACCAGATCGTACCCGCAACCCTGGTTCTAAACGGATTCAATATGGCATGTGAAACCACCAAAGGCAAGATAATTATACCAATAAACGTGGCCGGAACCATCCAGGAAATGAAGTTTCACGTAATCGAAGGCGAAATGAGATACGACGCCCTTTTCGGAAGGCCATGGATCCACAACATGAGAGTTGTACCTTTGACCCTACACCAGGTCCTCAAATTCCTAATATCGAGAGGAGTCAAAATAGTGTATGGAGAACAACCAGCCACAAGAGAAATGTTCGTCGTCGAGGAAGCGAAACCAATATCCTCGCCTTCGCCCGCAAAGGGATCAGGCTCAGAAGGGGAACGAGATACCAAATAGCAATCACAAACATCGGCTTTGACCCAACCAGATAACCAAAAGATCGAAGAGGATGGTGATCAGAGGATCCCTCGATCCTTCGTGATTTCCTATGACTCTGACGCCACTAAATCAACTATTGAGGAACTGGAGCAAGTCACACTAATCAAACACTGGCCCGAACGGAAGGTATACTTGGGAACGGGGTTGAGCCCCGAACTCAGGAAGAAACTTATTCAATTTCTTATCGATAACATTGATTGCTTTGCCTGGTCCCATTTAGATATAACAGGGATCCCACCGGACATAATGACGTATCTACTAAGCTTGGACCCTAGGTTCAGACCGATAAAGCAAAAGAGAAGACCCCAGTCCAAGGTAAAGCACACATTCTTAAAGGACGACGTAACCAAACTCCTCAAGATAGGGTCGGTGAAATATCCCGAATGGTTAGCCAATGTAGTTGTAGTGCCTAAAAAAGGAAACAAACTTAGAATGTGTGTGGACTATAAGGATTTGAACAAAGCATGCCCCAAAGATTCTTTTCCGCTGTCCAACATCGATCGCATGATCGATGCTACCCCCGGCCACGAGATCCTCACTTTTCTTGATGCCTACTTCGGGTATAATAAAATCCAGATGAGCCCGGAAGACCAGGAAAAAACTTCATTTGTCACCAAATATGGAACATATTGTTATAATGTGATGCCCTTTGGGCTAAAAAATGCAGGGGCTACTTACCAACACCTAGTGAATAAAATGTTCGAAGAACAAATAGGTAAATCAATGGAAGCTTATATTGATGACATGCTAGTTAAGTCCCTGTGCG